AAAAAAAATAGCTACTGTAGCTTACCAGTTCAGGCTAATATTTAGCTAAATGATTTGCATGGTTTTATATGTTGCTAAATCACCTATGTATCATAAATATTTTTAGACCTGGATAAATTTGCTTTGATGTAACAACCATATCATTTGTTATGCTAAAATTTTACTTTAACAAGCCAAAACAAGTTTTTAAAGCAAATGGGTGCCTTCCACTCCTCTCATGTGTTTCTCCTTTTCACAGTCTGGCATAAATGATTGGTGGTTCCAAAATACATGGCCACATGACAGTAAAAGTGTACAGTTGCCAAGATACAGGGGGTGGATAAACTACCCACTGGCTCAACTTACCCCACTCTCCCCTACTTCCATTGAAGATGAGGCAGAAGCAGGCTCAGAGAGTGAGGGAGAGCCAATCTTATCAAAGCATCTACAATAAAGTCTGAAATTATTAAAGAGTGTGCTATCTTCTCTTTTAATTGTATATATGTAACAACTGGATATTTGTATTAACAAGCACCCACCCGCCTAGTGCCCCTTTTTGGTTTTGGGCCACTGCCCCTCAAAATGTCTGTGCACGGCCCTGCTTACTACTAAGTGTGACTAAGTGTGTGCGTGGGTGTTGTGACTGAAATCAGCAGCAGTACTTCCTCTTCTTCCTGTCAGTGCTTCCTCTTTGTCTCTATTGTTGTCAGCAGATCAAAATTGCACACCATTTATTCACAGATCCATTCCATGCCATCATTTCATACAATCATAGGGAATATTTTCATTTCCAATAACTGGAACTAAGACATAAAACTGATTTGCTATAATCTGAAGCCTGCACACTGACAGTTTAATCTCCCCACTGTAGGACTCATGAATATTTGATTTTCTTTTATTTGATAAGACTAAGGTTTGCTTAATGACTTTTTTTTATGAAGTTATAAATACAATGCTAATTAAACCTCTTTGAGTGTGTGTGTGTGTGTGTGTGTGTGTGTGGTGTTACTAAAGGGGAAAAATTCCAACCTGATTGTAATGCACGGTTAACCAGCTGGCTTAGGGATCAGTCCCTTCTGTCATATTTTTCTTTTCAGATGCTGGTAGTCAAAAGAAAGATAGAAGAAGGAGAAATCCTCTGCGATTTTCCCTAGATTGAATTACTTCGTCTATCACAACATGGAGCGAGAGGGGTGCTGTGATCTCTGCGGTAACTAAAGCGAACTGCTCATTCCCTTCAAAAGCTCTTTGTGTGTTTGCGCCCAATGGTGAGCTGTATGCCTATCCTGTGCTGCTCACTCAAGGGGGCAGCTGGAAGCTGTTAAAAGGGCTCAAAAATAATCAGGGGTGTGACTTCACTCCCATCAACCCTTGCCAAGTGATGGAAACGCAATTACAAAGCTCAGAGCTTGTGCAGGGACTGCAAGTGGATTTGGGATCCTTCATAACAGTCAGGAAAGGCGGTTTACGGCTGAAGAAATTCACTTGTGGTTTTGTATCCTTTCCTGGCTGATCAATAAGTCGGATTTTGGGGATGTGTGGAGCCAAACAAGACTGTTTTGCACTGAACAGGCAGCGTGAAAAATCGAGCAATTTTGTCTTATATTCCAAGTCACACTTTTTGATATCGAGTCGCTCTCGTCCTTGATTGAACCCAGCACTTCACATCTCAACCACATTCAGAGGAAGCACATAAGTGACAAGTCACAACTTTCTGCAAGATTTAGCAATACATTATCTGTATAAAATCTGCCTTCTGCAGCTAAAATATATTGTAATGGAACCTCTAGAGTCTTCTTTGCCCGTTAACTGAATGTTTTGCAGGAATTGGAAATAAGGAAAGAATTATTCATGACAAAAATATCCCTACTGGCAGCATTAGACTGTTTACTGGCTACATTGTATAAGGGTGTTTATTTGTGATTTGAGTGTTCAAGTACATTAATAAGCCTTCTCATGTTCTCACATGTGAGAAAGACAGAGATAGCACAAGATTGATAGCTGACTGTAAAAACTGAACTAAACATTGCCGTTATATTGCAGTATTTAATGCAGTAAAAATTACTGTATTACAGTAAGTAGAATATAAAAAAATCTGAGTACCAAGAGTAAACATTTTTACATTGCTAAAGTAAAATGCATTACAGTAATGAAACTTTTGAGGGGAAATGTGTTTAACTGTCATGACGATGTCACAATGCAAAAAGTCATCATTGATTTATAGTATGTCAAATTTTATTTATTTTTTTACTTTGGGATAAAATATGACTGATATTTGTTTTGTGAGATACACTCCTAAACAAATTATTTATAAATTAGGGCTTATCAATCTTTTATTTATTTTTTTTCATTTAACTGCTCATGGCACATGGCTCATTACATGATATACTCATTAAATAATTTAATGTCTTAGAATAGTGATAATTCTAAGTTAATTCTAAACAAGTGAGTTTAATTGACATGCTAAAATAACATTTAGGTTTTTAACATTCTGTTGTAAAAATATAAATCAAGCTTTACATGTCAAGCAACACAATGAAACTGAAATATGAGAACTGAGAAAAGCAGAGACATAGAGGAACAAAGACACACACACACACACACACACACACACACACACACACAGGTCTTAGTCCTGCTTACAGTGTGACTGCTGGTTTGGGTGACAGGGAGGCCATTCTCGTAGTGAGTTTCAGTGAAGTCATGACCCAGGAGCTCCCTAAGAGAGATAAAATGAAAAAACAAGCTGTCACTGTGATATCACTACACACACATACACATTTGGCAGAGGTTTATGCCATTTCAACAGCAATACTTTGCCTTTCAAGCAATGCTTTGCACATTGAGATACAGAGAAAATATGTTTCTATACATGTTACAGGGTTGAACTAACTACACAATCATAATGCACAGGATGAAAAATGGATATTCATTTTAAGTTTGCTAAATATTATATTTAACAGTGTTTCAAATAAGTTGTGTTTACTGTAAGTGAGCATTAAAAAACAACAAAGTAATCTAAATGTAAAACTCCAAAATGTAATATTCAATATAGGATGATACACTACCATTCAAAAGTTTAAGTTCAGTAAGAGCTTTTCTGAATACATTTATTCAAGCAAGGACGAAACAAATTCATCAAAAGTGACAGTACATTTATGTTGTTACAACAGGTTTCTATTTAAAATCAATGTTGTTCTTTCTACTCATCAGAGAACCCTGAAAAATGGTTTCAACAAAAACATGAAGCAGCACAACTGAAATCTAATTACGATTTTTTTTTTGGAGCACCAAATCAGCAAATTAGAATAATTTCTATATATAGACTGTCTATATATATTTCTATGTATAGACTGATTCCAATACATTTCTAGTCTACAGAAACCAATATGGTATTGATAAATCATATAGCTATTACACGTTTGTTCACGTGAACATCATTTTAATCACAGACTCTCTGAATCACTAAAAATGATGCTCCCATTCAGATGGCAGATGCCATTTTCCTGTAAAAGCCTCACATGATTCAAAGCACTGGCTCAATGAGAGAAAATAAAAACATATGATCTCAACTAGCCATCAGTCCTGCTCTATTCCATCATTCCTTCAAGAAGTGAATCTTTCTTCATCATGCTGTCCTCTATCGGGAAATACCAGGCTGATAAGAGGCCAGGCTTTAGCTGGAGTGTTATTGTGTGGCTTTGGAAAGGGCTGGGGGTCAGAGCCATGATCTTGTCAGAGAGGGAGGCTATGATTAGAGCAAAGGGCGTGCAGGATGTGAGGACTGACTCTGTAATCTAGTCTATCCATCAGGACATGCACACATAACAACACTCACACAAACACACATGCAGAGAGCCACTACAACATTTATAACCATAAAGTCAAGTCGTTACATTTTGTGTGCCACTGGCTCTCTGATTATGGAGCATGACTGCAGTCCACAGCACATGCAGCATTTCCTCAACCAAGCGATGAAGTGTGTTATTTCATAGCCACTAGAGTCACTGAAACAGAATTGCAAAAATAATGACTTTAATGCATACATTCTATAACACACTCCCTGTCTGCATTTGATTAGACCCGATCTCATAAAAAAATAAATAAAAAAATAAATTATTTTAATACAGTTATGAATTGCCATGAGAGTATGTTTGTCAGACTTGCGCCACAAACACACACCACTGGTTGAGCCAAAGTCAGATGCTGTTTACACTTTTAGGAAAATGGATCACTTATAGCTGTCTCTGCACGTTAAAATACTCCCAGAATTTTAACATGATTCCAATTTGTTCCAAATAAGTTCCAATTTGTCAGACAAATAGAATGAAATTTGTATATTAATGGAATTAAAGTTATAGATTGTACTACATGTTAGCTTGTTTATTTTGCTCCAGTGCATGATCCATACTAACAGGAAACTATGGTCGAGAGCTGTAATTCCATTTACACAACTTTGCAATGCTGTTTGCAACTTTAGAACTATGGATTCGGGAAACACCAATTAGTTGATCTATGTTGGTATTGACAGAACTAATAGTTGGCTAACTATGCTTTTGGGAAACGGCTATATTGTCCAAAACCCATAAGTAGACAAGTCAAACTGCTCAAACTTGAAAGCACCACAGTGCAATGTATTCACATTTGAATTGAGTTAAATGGCATGTACAGCTTCACTAAGAAAGTCTCTGGATACTGAAATTAAAAATACACTTCAACATTGACACACAACTCACTTCAGAGACTAAACAATTATGGTGTTTAATGCCCTTCTCTTTTCCACTTTTGAATTAGTGTTCTAATAGAAGTAAGTGATACTTTTCAGGCCACTTATATGACAGGCAACCTATATAGAAGCTATAGTGAGAGCATAGAGACTAAACTTAAGAAACATCTGTGTGAAAGACATTCTTTGATCTCAATTTAATATCCCTTTGTGAATGCTTTTTGGGGTGAAGCTCTAACATGGCAATTCCATCAAAACAGAAGAGGTGAGTCATTAGGACCACAATTTTGCAAAGAGCTGCTGAGGAGCGAGGAATAGGCTAGGAAATGAAAAAAAAAAAAATCTCGAAACATGTAGCGAATCAGAGCGATGACCTTTCGCATCCGACAAGAATGAAATGATGGCACATTTTCAATCTAAAGTTGGTGTAGAGAGCGCCGCTGAGACGGAGGAGACTGCTGTGTGTGTACGCGCGTATCCATAACATTTCAATGAGAGAACACAGCTGGCAGTTTGATTTGTGTATTATTACTGAGAGAGTACCATTATCTGCGCATTCATAAATTACCTCTATGATTTTCACACTTTATGAGACCCCAATTCCCCAAACTCCATCTATAATAACTCTACAAGGATTGAAAAGTGCTTCATAAATGCCACAAACCCTCATTGTGCTGAACTTCTCCTTTGGTCCATCACCCTGTACTTAAAATTACCACCATTTAAAAGGTAAACACGTTTTACAGCATAGTGAGAAATGCACTCTCTTTCTGTATTACAATCAACAAACAAAACAAACCTACCTATTAGCAAAGCTCACATCCACACATAAACACTAACCACTCAAGCAAATCACTACTCTGAGCTACACACTCATTACCTCTTCTGCGCTCAGCCACACTGACACAGTGGCAAACATCTGTGGGTTGTGGGGGAAAAAGACAGAAGTTAATATGATCAACAAGGCATGAGTCATTGTTTTAGTTTATGCTGGGAACTACAACGTACGTGTTGATCTAACACCTATTTTAACCAGCAAAATGCTGATCCTAACTGTTAAAAGAACCTGCAGGCTAAAACCCTCTGCCATTTACAGCTGACTTAGGCCTTGCATGTCAATACGTCAGTGTTTTTTGTGCAATTGTGTTCAAATAACTTTCATGGACAGATTTACTTTAATGTTTAAATCTCCAGAATAAAATTATGTTGTTCCTTTTAGACAGGTAAACTTTGTTACTCTGAGAATTATGTGCGATAAGCACAGATTTTTGTGTTTGCCAGACATGTATTCAGTTTAGCATGAGAGTCAATGTACAGTAATGTTTGTATATCTGAGTTAAAGGAATGTTGTGGGTTTAAAACAACTTAAGCACTGGAGGTAATTAAATGTAAAGTTGTTTAAATCGTGATCTCTTGAACTGGGAACACTCTTCTAGGTGGATGAACTTCTTGTTTTTTTGGCTTTTTCATAATAGCCGGTGACTTCAACCACGCAAACTTAAAGACAGTGTTGCCAAAGTTCTACCAACATGTGAACTTTGCAACAAGGGGAAAAAACACACTGGACTTTGTTTACACAACAGAAAAGAACGCGTACAAGGCTGTACCCCGCCCCCACCTAGGGTACTCGGATCACATCTCTGTTATGCTAATTCCAGCATACAGACCACTTCTGAAACTCGCCAAACCAGTTCAAAAACTCATCAACATGCAGCAGAATGACAATAAAGCTCAACTTGACTTGACTTGTTATGCATTTCCTACATAAATCCTGTCAGTGAAGTTTGCTCTATATAAACAGTGCTTTACCATTAGTCACAGTATGTCAACTCGTCTTGACAACAAAATTGAAAGATTAGATATAATTTTACACAAAGTCAGTAGGCAAATCTTTTTTTTACTTTTCTCATAACAACATAATGTTTCGTGAATTTTGAATCAGGGTGAAACCATAATCTGTGATGTTTTTTCTGTGATAATTTACATTAAAGGTTTAGTTCACTTCCAGAATAAAAAATTCCTGATAATTTACTCACCCCCATGTCATCCAAGATGTTCATGTCTTTCTGTCTTCAGTCGCAAAGAAATTAAGGTCTTTGAGGAAAACATTCCAGGATTTTTCTCCAAATAATTGTGGCCAACGGGTTGAAGGTCCAAATTGCAGTTTCAATGCAGCTTCGAAGGGCTCTACATGATCCCAAAATGTATATACTTTTTAACCACAAATGCACGTCTTACACTAGTTCTGCGATGCGCATCCAAAAAATCACGCATGACGTAATCACGTTGGAAAGGTCACATGCGGTTAGTTCTCCATCTGTGTACTCCGGTTCAAAAAGGTATGGTAGGGTGAAAAACTCCATCTCATTTTCTCCTCCAACTTCAAACTTGACCAACATCGTTGTTTTACCTCTTTTTGTAAAAGGCATTATACTTTCTTTGCATGTTCGCTTTGTAAACACTGGGTTAGTATTAGGGGTGTGAACCTACACTGGTCTCATGGTTCGGTTTGATTCCGATCATCATGTCATCGATTCGGTTCAATTCGATATCACGATGCATCACAATGCATTGACGATGCACTGCATCCTCAATTTTCAATTTTACTTCACATGTATACAATTTTGTCAATAAATACAAGCAGTCAGATATATGAACTGTACCTGACATGGTTTCTCAAGTTAGTGGTATTACCCCCTGCATATTTTATTGTGCGTGACATGATTTACACATAGCGTGTGTCTTCTCCAGGTCGTGCTTACCAGGCTGTTCATAAAAGCCAAAATGTGCCCAGATGTCGGCTTTTAAAGTAGTCGGAGCATTTTTAATTACTCCCACCACCATTAGGCGCATTTGGTTTGAAGCGGCGCTGCGCAGAATGATCAGTGTATGACATCAACCGCGAGAGTGATTCGAAAGTGAGGATCCATCTGCTCTCTTATCGCTCTCGCGGTACTTGATGTCACACACTGATCATTCTGCGCAGCAGCGCT